GCCGCCGCGCTTCCCAAGCGGCGCACTATCCAGTGCGCCACCGGGCCGGCCCCTAGATTTTGGCTGCCTTTAAGAAATTAAACTGAGTTTTTTTTCTTTTGCCTTAATGTTGTCTTATGATTTACATTCTCTTGTTAAGTGTGTGTAAATTCATGAACATGATAACTTGTATCTGGAAGGGATACTTATTTGAAATTTCCAAATTTCATTACAAATCTAAAATCTTATAGTGAATTTGATATTTGAGATTTTATTGCTTGCATGATAGCACATAGAGGGGTTACTTTATTTTAATACCTTATCTCTTAACTGATTTTTTCCCCCTAGTACCATAGTCTCATTACGTTTTTGTCAAAAGCAGAGTACAACGATAGTTATTAAACTGATTCTGTGAAAGCTAGTTCTTTAACACCAATATGATCTAAGTAAATTTCACTTAAAAGCTATCACTTAATGAAATGGTCCTATCAGAAAAATGGAATCATAACTTTAGCATTTTCTTACATTACAGATAAATTGCTGAATTCCTTGGAGTCTTAATTGATATTGCATACTACACAGAAGCTTCGAATTCCTCATGGTCTAAATGGGGAACTACAGGGAGGTTTTATCATCTTTTTGGTTACTAGATGATAACCTACATTTGTTATTACTTGCTGACTCTTTAATCTCAAGTCAGCATATTCAGCTTGTTCCAGTCACCAGTCTGATTTGCTTACCTATTGGTCAAAGTATTTATTTTTAAATATGTTAGAACTTGTTATCACAATGAAAGCAGCAGTGATTAGTATTGAAATCTTAGTTTTGGTATTTCAAAGAAATGATTTTCTTTTCTAGAATTTTAAAACATGTAGCATTTTAAATTTAACAACTATTTAGTTCAAGTTTTCATCTATTTTTATTTGCTTTTATAATAGCCTCTCATTGTGGTAAACTGTAAAATAATTTTAAATAGTGTATTTGTAAATATATGTAATTATAATGATGTAAAATACTGTTTGTGTACGTATGTGTGTTTGTGTATGTACACACATAAATGGCTTTGTGTAGCCAAGGATTTTTTTATCTGTATAAAACTTTTTGTATAAGGTTTGCTTTCGATAACAGTAATGTATAATAAAGCCATGTAAAGTTCTGTTATATTTTGATTAGAATATTTCTTTTAGTGTGTTTAGATAATTAAAACAAAAAAAAAGGCAAACTCCCAGCGGACATGGGGAATTATTTTGAAGTAATTCATAGTGGGAGCATGGCTGGCTGACTGGCTATGAGTAGATTTGTTGGAGAAAACTGGTTGCCGTTGCCTGCCTTCATCCACGAGGTACCAGTAGTGAACTATGCCTCTGCTACAGGTGTCCTCACAGACAATATTAGGGCAGCACAAAAGACCTTTGGGTGAAGATTTGGAGAAAACAGGTGTAAGGATTGATAGCTTTGTCATTCCTCCCACTCCAGACTCATAGGACTGGTGGGTTATAATCTAGGCCCTCCTCTCCAGGAAGTGCCTTTTCCCATTGCCATTTCTCTCAGGGTGTCTAAAGGGCAAGCCCTAACTTGAAGGATTGCTTGGTAGATAACAGACTGGAATAATAAACTGTGGTTTTATAGTGCTGGGGTTCTCTGCTATAAGACTCATCCTCTTCTTTCTCTTTGAACCCCCAACACAACTAGAGGTCTGACCCTCAGCCCTTCTCCAGGGCGTACTATCACTCAGAAGATGCCATACACCAGCAGCTAAATGAGTTCATTTGCATGTAAAGTGATGACAGAGATGCTACTGTTTCAGAAGAAAACAACCTGGATTACCTAAGACCTTCAGAACCTAAAGTGAAGCTAATAAATATCAAAAGAAAAAGATAAAGATTTTAGCAGTGTAATATAAGAATAAGAAATAATGAAACATATTTAAAGAATATAACAAATGGAGTAAAAATAGAATAGATACAGCTGAAGAATGAATTAGTGAGTTGCAAAATCAAACAAACTCCCAGAAGGATGCCAAAAAAGAAAAAAATAGGAAATATGAAAGCAGATGTAAGCAAGATGGAGGGCAGAAATAGATGTGCCAACATTCGGGTAATAAAAGAAAAAATTTAAACAGGACTGAACGGGCCATAGAGTGCCAAAAGAGAGAGAAGGAAACATCAACATCTAGATACAGACTGAAATTTAAGAGTATCAAAGATAATGATAAAAATCTAAAAGCTCTATTTACTCTATTTTAGATAGAGTAAATGTATATAGAAACAAGAATCAGATTGACCTAAGTCTTTCTAAGCACCATACTATCTGTAGGAAAACAATGTAATATTTTTTAAGTACTGGACTTTAAATTGTCATTCAAATGACAAAAACATTAAGATTTACCACTCAAAAATCCACGTGAAAAATTTTTGCGAAAAAATACTCAACAGGAAACAAGTCCAGCAGATATTACAAAAGCTAGAGGGATAACAGTGGTCACATGTCTTGGTAAAATGTATAGGGGGGAAAGATTGAAAAAAGGAAGTGTATCTATAATCTAGAATTAATAATTTGACAGTATCAACATGATGGAGAGTAGAAGGGATCAAAGATACATGAATGTTAAAGTTCTTGCCTTGTTAGAATGAAGATATAGATATAAAAATGTCAAACTTTTAAAACTGAAGTGTGTATAAAAGTGTATAAAAGAAATAGCTCAGTAAATTTTCACAAAGTGAACACTTTTGTAATACCATCCACGTCAAGAATCAGAACATTACCCAGGTCAAGAATCAGCCCTCCAGAGTGCCCCCCATCCTTTCTGTTCCTAGTTATAATCCTTCTCCCTCGAAGTAAACACTATTGCTGACATATTACCATAGATTAGTTTTGCCTGATTTTTGAATTTTCAAATGGAATCATAACAGAGCATCTACTTTTATTTGACTTCTTTTGCTCAGCAGTATACAAGTTCACGTTGTGTTCAGTATAGCAAATAGTACATTGTTTCTCACTGCTGTATTCATTTCAATTGAATGAATACAATTAATTTATCGTCATAGACATTTGTGTTCCAGTTTGGGGTATTACAAGTAGTGTTGTTACACATGGTTTGATAAAAAAAAAATGTGGTAAATATAACATAAAATTTAGTTTAGTTTTTTTTTTTTTTTTGTCTTTTGTCTTTTTCCGTGTCCGGCAACGGATCGCAACCCTCAGTGTTGCCCCCGTACCGGACCGGGGACCGGCAACGGGATTGCAACCCTCGGTGTTGCCCCCGCGCCTCGCTCAGCCAGTGAGCGGGAACCGGTCTGTATGTGGGATCCGAACCCTCAGGCGGGAGCGCCGCTGCGCTTCCCAAGCGGCGCACTTATCCAGTGCGCCACCGGGCCGGCCCAAAATTTAGTATTTTAACCATATTTGGATGTACAGTTCAGTTGCATTAAGTATATTCACCTTGTGTGATCATCACCACCATCTGTCTCTGGATCTTTTTTATCTTCCCAAACTGAAACTCTACCCATTAAGCAGTAACTTCCCATTTCCCCCTTACTTCAGCCTCTGTCAACCTCTATTCTACAAGGGTGCTTCAAAAAGTTCATGGAAATATTTGTATTATCTTTTTATTCTATTTTTTCACAAACCTTTTGAAGTACCCTCATGTTTTCTGTCTCTATGAATTTGACTATTCTAGGTACCTCATATAACTGGGATCACAATACAAGTATTTATTCTTTTGGGTCTGGCTTGTTTCACTTACCATAATATCTTCAAGGTTCATCCAAGTTGTAGAATGTATCAGAATTTCCTATTTATTTATTTATTTATATTATTTTTATTTTTAAAAGATGACCGGTAAGGGGATCCTAACCCTTGGTTTGGTGTTGCCAGCACCATGCTTAGCCAGTGAGCTAACCGGCCATCCCCACATAGGATCTGAACCCGTGGCCTTGGTGTTATCAGCACCATACTCTCCCGAGTGAGCCACAGGCTGGCCCTGAGAATTTCCTTTTTAAAGCTGAATAATATTTCATTGGATGTATCTACCACATTTTATTTAACCATTCAACCTTCTGTGGACATTTGGGTTGTTTGCATCTTCAGACTACTGTGAATAATATGAACATGGTTGTACAAATGTTTATTTTAGTCCCTGCTTTCACTTCTGGGTATATGCCCAGAAGTGGAATTACTGGATCATATGGTAATTCTGTGTTTAATTTTTTTTACCATCCTAGCACCATTTAACATTCCCACTAGCAGTGCATGAGGGTTCTAGTTTCTCCAAATCCTTGTCAACACTTAGTATTTTGGGTTTTCAATTTTCTTTCTTTCTTCTTTTTAATAATAGCCATACTAATGGGTGTGAGGTTGTGTATCATTGTGGTTTTGATTTGCATTCCTCTAATGATTAGTGATGTTGAGCATATTTCCATGTGTCTATTGGCTAGCTGTATATCTTTGAAGAAATATCTAATGTCCTTAGCCCATTTTAAAATTGACTTTTTATTGTTGTTGAATTGTTTTTCACATTCTTATATACATCTTTTGGTACAAATATTTATACATTTATCTTGGATTTATACCTTGAAGTGTAATATGCATGTATTTACTTTAAGTAGATAATGCCAAACAGCTTTCCAAAGTGGTTTTTATCAATTGTCCACCAGTATTGTATGAGAGTACTTATTGCTCTCTACCTATTTGTCAACACTTGGTGCTATAGACTGAAAGTTTGTGTCCACCCCACCTGGACCTTGCCTTTCTGTGTGCTATGCATGGGAGCATTAGTCTTTCTTTTTTTTTTTTTTTGTCTTTTTTCGTGTCCGGCAACGGATCGCAACCCTCAGTATTGCGCCCGTACCGGACCAGGACCGGC